TTATTTAAAATATTTTTAAGGCAATCAAAACAGCAAGACAATAAGTAATAAAGAATTGTTTTATTTTTATTTTTTATGACAAACTTCGTGCTAATATAAAATTGTTTTAAATTGAGTTTGGCCAGAAATTTAGAGGGCTTATACCAGTATACCGGTATCAAAATTGGCCCGGATACGTCACTGCAGATATTACTTATTCCTTATTTACCTTATTCTTTATTTATATACAGGTATTACTTATTTCTTATTATTTCTTTATTATGCAGTTACTACTTATTCCTATCTTCATAATGTAAAGCATTTTCAGAAAAAAAAGAAAGAAAAGATGACCACAATGATTCTGTCATCCCAAACCAAGCTTAATCTATTGTTAGACACTTAAATCATTTATGCTTATGTTGCTAAAATCAATTCTCACTTTAACTTTTCTACAACTTATGTTCCAGAAAACATTCCTTTCACAGACTTTCACACTTGTGTTAAGTCTAATAAGTTTTACTTAAATGAACACTAATCTTTTTGACTTGTGTTAATAAAAGTTCTAGATATGTTGAGTGATTATTTTCTCAAGAAATATTTACCAACACACATGTGATAGCATTGAAGTAAAATAAGACGGCGGTCAGCTGTTTTATCTTTAAAAATATTAATGTGATTCCTAGTCAGTCAATACATGGTAACACACGTAACGAAAACGCAAATTTTTCAATGCTGCACAACAAGCACATTGTTTTTAATAAATAATATAACATTATAATATCATATTTCTTCTTGGCTTTCTCTTCGAGGCCTTCTCGGCCTTGGGAAGGTGAAACTACAAAAAAAAAAAATTATAAACAAGTTTAACTAGATTCTTCATTTATACTTGATATTATGTGCCATTGATTTTAAATGCCTTTTAAATTTATGATAATATAATTGGGTAACCCCCGTAATGATAATTACTACCATGTATCTATGAATATGGATATCTATAAATAAATATGTATAAATAGTATGTACAAATACTATGAATCTATTTATAGGATTCCTTAAATTAGTGCATTTAAACACAACTTCACATGATTTGCAAATTTTCTCAGCATTTGAATTAAACGAGCATGTAGGCAATGTATTCATAAAGACATTCTTTAATTACACGTGCATTGATTTACTTTCTAGTTGCATTTGCAAATATTTTAACTGACATAGGTTCACAGATTTACAATCATTCAACTTACAGTTGGAAGCGCAGTTCAGTTTCTTATTTTGTCGTATTAATTTGTTTTAACAATGTCAACCAGACATTGTCAACACTATGGAAGGCATGTCAGATACAATGGCTGTTTGGAAAAATGGAAGAAAGGAAACTTTGAGGAAGTGTTGCTTGACTATTTTCCTGCATGAGGCATATACGTTATTTCTTGAGAATATTGAAACAATTAAAATTTGTTTTTCCAAACTTTGTGCTCTCTGTTCACCTAACATACTGCTTTTAAAAAATAAACCAGCTGATCAGTGTAAATGTGTAATGTATGAAAATTTAATACTACGTTTGAGCGGTTTGGGCATTTTGTATACAAATAATTGGTGGGATGATATTTTGTGTTCTTCTAGTGCATTAGATATGTCCAAGTCCTGTTGGAAAATTAAGTGTAAATTATGTAAAATAGCTTTAATATTAAATCTAACAAGAACGTGGAAGACATAGCAATTTGGTACGAATGGATTAATGAGTATGTCAAACATGACAACATTGCTGAATCCAAGAAGCGACTGCGCAAGATTCAGCAGCAGGATACTGTTAGAGAACTTATTAGTGTCATTCAGGAAGGTTTTGAAAAGGTTGTAAACATGTACGGGTGAAAAGAATCCAAGCTAAAGAATTTTCTGAAGACAAAACAAAATGTATCTCCAGAATCCTGCAAATAAATTTTGCAATGTCATTTTCATGCAAATATCAATCTGAAAGTCAGCTATGTGCAGCAGATCTAGCAATACTCTTTTACAGCAGCTACGTTTGCAAGGGGTACACAACAAGGTTTTATTATTTGCTCTGATACTCTGAAGAAAAACAAGAATACTATATTTGCATTTCTTTTCAAAGTATACGATTATATAATGAAATTGCCTGATTCAAATTATTACGATGAAGAAACCATTTAGTCGGATGGACCATCGTCTGAATTTAAAAATAAATACATGTTTAATTTGTTGCAACTTCTGGTCTGTCGATATCACAAAAATTTTCAGTTGAAGTATTTCACTACTTACCATGAAAAGGAGGTAATTGACACAATTAGTGGGAAAAGCAAAATATCTTGTACGTCAAAAAATTGTCAAAGGGAGCTAACACCATTGTTCAATCATCTAAAGATTTTGCTGAATTGGCAATCATGTTAATGCCTAAAACAATAATTTTTTATGTTCAGCAAGAAGAGATTGATGAGCTGACCAGCGAATTCAATATATGGAGTAATGTAAAAGATGTTGAAGGTATAAAAATAATTTATTATGTCACAGCAAATCAACACGGCGAAATCATGCTGCGAGAAACAGCTTTTGACGAAATAAAGTGCACCATTTTATTTTTAGATTACTTACTCAAATAGATGAAAATGGTCACAGTTCAAAATTGACTTTTTTGTGGGTGATTGGTGTGTAGTTAATTACAATGCATCAGAATTTCCTGGACAAGTAAAAGAAATGTCAAATCAAGTTTTAGTATCCACAGTTGAAAAACATTTGTTTGGGAACTCATGGGTTTGGCCAACTAAACCTGATGTAATGCTTTACGATAAAAGTCAAGTTCTTAGAAAAATTGATCCCCGTCACTTGCTGGTTTAAAAACCCAAACATATATGGTGTTTCACTCCACAGACATTTAAATTTTTATTACTATGAACGTCTAAACTCTTTAACTACTCATATTTCGCATGCTTGCATATATAATCACTATGCTTTTGCTATTTTAGTTGTAAAATTATTGTTTTTATCAATTGTTTTGCATGCGGTAATGCACATAACGAGACTGGTAACACACATAACGATAACAAATTGCTAATATAATCTGCTATTAAAATCTTTTCCCCAAATCTACTTTATGGTTTTGTTAAGCGACATCTTTAATAACAAGTTGCATATTTCGGTTTTTCAATATGCAATCAATTCACAGATAAGCCTTGTCAAAATTTACTTGTTAAAATTTTAGATGTGTGCAAATAACTCACATAACAATTTTTAATTTAAAATTTGAGATAAGAAATGTTCAACTTTTTAGAACAAGTTTTTGAATATTTTTTGTTGCACGGATTAAATAATATTTTGCGATAAATTGCAATTTCACAAAGCACCATGCTGAAGTATAAACCACCGGTTTATGAGTTTAACTATTGTTCAAAAGTAACTCACGTAATGAAGGAATCAGTCAGATATTTAATTTTTTAACATTTAAGTTTGGAATTATCATTGAAGTGTTGTAAGTTTTGATATTTATTATAGCTAGTCCAAATTTTTTAATTTTAATTTTTAATTTTGAAAATAGTAAACATTACATTCTATTCAGTAATGACTTCTTTCATTGTTTGTACAAAATAGAAAACTACCTCTTATTAAAACTGAATGTGCCATTTAAATATTATCAAGTGAATAATATTTTATATACTTGATTATACACTTAATAAATATAAAATAAATTTATACTAATATAATATATATTATTGTGAGTATATATATACTTATACAAATATAGTATATAAATAACTTATATACTAAAGAATATTTTGAGAAATGGGTTTGTGAAACTAGTGACGCAACATTTTTTCTTTTGTTGTTTGTGAGCTACCAAAAGTTGCAATTCAAAGTTATATATCAAACATATTTGCTATACGTATTGTTTATTAAAACTTTTTTTTTTTTTAATTTTAAGTTGCATTTAGCTTTAACTTTTTTAATAAATAGACTTTAATATAAGCTGAACTGATTCAATAATACCAGTGAAAATAATTAGTTTTATATTAAATTATATTTGACAAAATATTTCATATTCCAATGTTTTGATGTTTTTGAATTTTAAATATAATAGTCACTAATTAATAGAATGTGATCGAACTTGTACAAAATCAAAGTTTTTAGTGAAGTCTAAGTTTGATAAACTTTTTACGCGAGATAATTATTTATAAGATATTTATAAACATTACGCTAGATATTTAATTTTTTAACATTTAAGTTTGGAATTATCATTGAAGTGTTGTAAGTTTTGATATTTATTAAATGGAATTTTATGCAATTCAAAGTAAAAATTCTAGTTAAGAGAATTTTTTTGTCAAATGGACCCTACAAAAATAAACAAGTTAGCAAATGGTTTGACTTAACCAGGGTAAGATTAAACAGATATTATGATGAAGTTCAACTGAAATTTTTGAAAAAAAAAAACATGCTGGATTTAGCATTCAAATAGAAAATATAAATCATTTTTAATTTGAACTTATACCACATAAAATAAAATTGAAGTAAGTCATGCAAAAATTATGCATGACATTACGAATATACCTTCTTCTTATTACTAATATACTTTCTTAATTTAACAATATGCAAACTCTACCGTTTAAACATATTTTGACTTTAGCACAAAAATTTTACTTAAAATGTTTTCTATAAAATCAACTTATAATTTCTTCCTCGCAAGTTCTTTAAACGAACGCGATTTTTTACTCTCGCAACAAAACTAGCATACACTATTTGTTGCACCCGGAAGGTCATTTATGGGTGCGTTTCACATGCGCAGAGCAATCGCTTCTACTTTATCACAAGGCCTGAAATAGATTTGATCAGAAATTAAATTTTATAACTTACATTTTAACACAAAACCAAAATCAGAAAAATACAAAAAATACTGCCACATAAAAACAGAATTAAAAAATATACTTAAAATATATTTTTATTTTGGTTCTACAACAAAATAATGATTACTATAAATAACTTCTTTAAACACTGAAGTAATATAGTTAAAAAAAAACTACCTTCTAAAGACACTTTTTTTCTTTTAGAAAAATAATCACTAATACTTATATGTTGTTTCTTTCTTTTTGCTGTGTCAGCTGAACCTTTTTCACTCATTATTCATGTTGTCTTTTTTATAAAAATTATAAAAATCTAAAGATATAAAACATACTTTAAAAACTTTTAACTTACATTTTAAATATAAAAAATTTTATAAATATAGGTATATCAAATTTTGATAAATATAAGAAAAAACAAATCCGTCAGGTACTTTTTGGATTACATTTTTAAAGCTTTTAATTATTTTACCAGGTTGGAAAAATAGAAACTGTTTTGTCTTCAGATTGCTGCAGACAAGGATGACTTAAGATTAATAATGGTTCAATAAGAAAACAGAAGAGGATACTTTTTAATGATGTAAAAGATATAAAGGATGACTATTAAAGATTCTATATAAATATCAAAACATAGTCTTTTATAACTCTTACTGCTTCTTCATAAAGTTGCCATTAATAATGATTAAAATTTATTGAAAACTTTACCTTGTTATTGGAAAATTAAACTTTTGTCAATGAAAAAAAAATGTTTGTCGATCAAATAGTAAAAAATAAATAATAATAGACATTTTAGAGTAATCACTTTTATCTGAAACTTTTTAATGTGTTTAATCTTTTTATAAATTGATTAAAATAATATATATCACGTACGTATTATTTTTGACCAGGGACTCTAGACTCAACAACTCCAGTTTTATAAAATATGATAACATGTACACATAGATATTAGTATAAAGACACAAAAGAATACATTGACAAATTTAAAAATGCAAATACTAGTTAACATAAAAATTATACTATTGCAAAACGCATGTTAACAAGCATGGCTTAGATATACCGTACATATCTTCTAAAATATTTAAACTCTTTATTTTCTTTATGGTATAAAAATATTTTCCCCTTGACCTTGAGATATTTCCCATGACGCTTCCCCTTGGATTCACACCTGTATTAAAACAAAAACGATTGTTGCAATTTAAAGCCTAAATATACAAATTTAAAAAAAATTAATTTTTATACTAAGTATTTAATTATAATTATTTTGAGCTTTTATTCCATTTCTTTTAACACTAACTTAAATAAATTTAATATTTATATAAAACAATCATTTAAAATTGTCAAAACTTAAATAAATTTATATAAATATACACAAAAATTAAGCTTTGTAAAATATTATCTTCGAGCTAAAGACTAAAAAAAGTTGTTATTTTTCTATATGCTGATACCCTATTTTATACAAAACTTCTTTTAATTTTTTTTCCAAAGTTTTAAATAATATCTTCATGCTTAGGAGGACGAATAACATTCCGCTTTACACATTGAAGCATCCATTCTATACCCTCTGTTATACCTTCTCCTTTTAATGCTGACACCTCATGTAGCATGCAATCCCTTCGACCAATATTGTGAGAACTATGATTAAAAATATTTTTTATTGCTTCAGAATTTACAGAATTAGCTTTATCTCGTTTGTTTGAAAGTACCAGTAGAGGAACACCTTTTAACTGTTCATCCAATATGAGTGAAGAAAAGCACTTGTAAGACTCCTCAAAGCGATGTGTATCAGAAGAGTCAATAACATAAATTATACCATGACAGTCTGAAAAATATTTACTCCATAATGATTGGAGCTCATCTTGACCCCCTAAATCCCATAAAACTAAAACAGCTGTTTTTAAATCAATTTTACCCATATTCATTCCAACTGTTGGTGCTATTTTTTCAAAAGGAATTCCTCCATATTTTGTAAGACAATACTTTCTTTTCAGTTGTTCAAACAAAGTAGTTTTTCCAGCATTATCCAAACCAATTATCAAAATAAAATACTCATCTTTCTGAAACAAATACTTCCACAGTCCTTGTAATAAGGAAAACATATATTTGAATGTATATAAATCTATGAAGTAGAGTAGAATTAAAACATTTAATGTTTTAAAGTAATTATTATTTTCAAATACATAAAATGAATATTTCCAAACACAACACATACGACTAAATAATTTTTATAATAATTTTAATAGTTAAGAATAATTAAAGTATTCCAAAAATATAATTACTAACTTCTATATGTCTTACGAATCTGTATTCTCGCTTGACACATGAATAATAACAGAAGTTATGTAAACTTGTTGTATAATCTGTTTAGATGTTATTTATACGCACATGTTTTTATTATTTTTATTCCTTACAATTACTTTAATTATTATTGCTATTATTATTATTATTTTTACTATATATATTTCAGTAAAAATTTCTTAGGGACATTACTAAGTGTTGAATAATAACATGATTTTTTAAATACAGCTTTATTTTCTTTTTATAAATTTTACGAACATTATTTACGCGCTACTGCTTTCTTTCAAGGGAATCCAATACAATTCGGGAAAATGGTGTTGGTTTATAAACGATGCAGCGCATTTTTAAATTCCTATTTAAATTTAAAATGTTTCTTGTTTATATATTATTAATATCCAATTAATATTCATATTAATTAGATAAACATATTACTGTATGTATAACCCTTATGTAATAAAACCTATTAAAGAAAAACAAAGCGTTTAAAAACATACTTAGAAAACGGTTAGAAACTAACGTGTACACTACACGGGTTTTTTTTTATTCACTCACTTATTATTCAACAACCAGAATAAAATAAACATCTACCAGCGCTATATTTTTATGTATAAATATATTAATAACTCAACTCCAGCTAAATTTATTTGTAAGTTTTGACGAAAATCTAAATAAAAATCTGAATAAATATCTTTTTAAAACAAGTCAATCCTTCAAATTGTCATGCAAATTTTAATAGTTATACAGTGTATATTCAAATGAACTTCGAGGAGCTAAGTTAAGGAATTCTATTTAAAAGATACCACAAACCTGATAAAATCATATAATATTTCAAGCAAAAAAGCTTATTTTAATCATGCGGAATAATTACTCAAAAAAATTGGTAATTTATTCAATTAATTTTATTTATCAATCTTAGTCAGTGTTAGGGTTAAGTTACATTTTTACCTTTTAATGTATTTAATATTAAATTTCTTTGTACATGATTAAGATTAAAATAATATAAATACTAGAACAAAATCACCAGCAAAAAGTTTTTGCTAAACAATTGTACTTTTATTTTTCAGTTAGTTTGATCCTCTGATTAACAACTTTTTCAGTGAGAGTATTTTTGTAGGGAGTGTTTTAGACTTGACCAAGGGTAAAAAATAAAATGAGTTGTAAGACTAATAGTGGTCCAATGCAACGCCAACCAAGTAAAACATGTCAACAGTAGCGCTTTATTCAAAAAACTTCAAATTAGTGTCGAACGGCTTTAAACCAATATAGCGCCTACATCTATACACTAATGGTGTATACTACTATTGGTGTACCACTACAAACCACCTAAGACCAACCTAATAAAATATCCATTATGTTAACTGTAGCACTAAGTTAGACCAACATTTATACTCAACATAACAATGGGCAGCGAACCGTATGCTAACACAAAGTCAACATACGAGCAACTAAAACACTTTGTCGGCCCAACAATTTACGTTTGGGTGAACTAAATTGTGCTGCTTGGGATTGCATCCGCCATATCTTTTAGATAAGTCTATTTTTAAAATGTTTTATTTATTGATATTTAATTTGTTAAACTAATCTGTGATTAATTTTGTTTATTAACGGCAAAACATATACAAGTAAAAAAAAAAATTTTAACAAGCTACTGGAGTTTAAGAAAAGTTCTGAAAAACTCATTTGAAAAACTCATCTATTGCTTCAAAGTTAACTTGAGAAAAACTCATCTATTGCTTCAAAGTTAACTTGAGAAAAACTCATCTATTGCTTCAAAGTTAACTTGAGAAAAACTGATCTATTGCTTCAAAGTTAACTTGAGAAAACTCATCTATTGCTTCAAAGTTAACTTGAGAAAAACTCATCTATTGCTTCAAAGTTAACTTGAGAAAAACTCATCTATTGCTTCAAAGTTAACTTGAGAAAAACTCATCTATTGCTTCAAAGTTAACTTGAGAAAAACTCATCTATTGCTTCAAAGTTAACTTGAGAAAAACTCATCTATTGCTTCAAAGTTAACTTGAGAAAAACTCATCTATTGCTTCAAAGTTAACTTGAGAAAAACTCATCTATTGCTTCAAAGTTAACTTGAGAAAACTCATCTATTGCTTCAAAGTTAACTTGAGAAAAACTCATCTATTGCTTCAAAGTTAACTTGAGAAAAACTCATCTATTGCTTCAAAGTTAACTTGAGAAAAACTCATCTATTGCTTCAAAGTTAACTTGAGAAAACTCATCTATTGCTTCAAAGTTAACTTGAGAAAAACTCATCTATTGCTTCAAAGTTAACTTGAGAAAAACTCATCTATTGCTTCAAAGTTAACTTGAGAAAACTCATCTATTGCTTCAAAGTTAACTTGAGAAAAACTCATCTATTGCTTCAAAGTTAACTTGAGAAAAACTCATCTATTGCTTCAAAGTTAACTTGAGAAAACTCATCTATTGCTTCAAAGTTAACTTGAGAAAAACTCATCTATTGCTTCAAAGTTAACTTGAGAAAAACTCATCTATTGCTTCAAAGTTAACTTGAGAAAAACTCATCTATTGCTTCAAAGTTAACTTGAGAAAAACTCATCTATTGCTTCAAAGTTAACTTGAGAAAAACTCATCTATTGCTTCAAAGTTAACTTGAGAAAAACTCATCTATTGCTTCAAAGTTAACTTGAGAAAAACTCATCTATTGCTTCAAAGTTAACTTGAGAAAAACTTATCTATTGCTTCAAAGCTAACTTGAGAAAAACTCATCTATTGCTTCAAAGTTAACTTGAGAAAAACTCATCTATTGCTTCAAAGTTAACTTGAGAAAAACTCATCTATTGCTTCAAAGTTAACTTGAGAAAAACTCATCTATTGCTTCAAAGCTAACTTGAGAAAAACTCATCTATTGCTTCAAAGTTAACTTGAGAAAAACTCATCTATTGCTTCAAAGTTAACTTGAGAAAAACTCATCTATTGCTTCAAAGTTAACTTGAGAAAAACTCATCTATTGCTTCAAAGCTAACTTGAGAAAAACTCATCTATTGCTTCAAAGTTAACTTGAGAAAATGTATTTTGAAGTTTACGCCAAAGCGAATAAATGTGAACTGAGATAAACAGCTTTAAAAAACCATCGTAATTATTGATAAACAAAGTTCCCACGAAACTGTGAAAATAAAGTTTTCAATTATTTTTAACATTACTTTAATAATTACTTTAATAAAAAAAGTAAACAAGGATAAAGTAGTTGTCAGTTTTACATTTATCCGAGCTGAGTGATACGTCTATTTTTCTTGAGTTAGCACAAGAAATTTCTGATTTGCAGTTTTTGATGTTTCATAAAATCAAACGTTTAAATATTCAGACGGTTTGATCTCATTGTATTTCCTGCTTTTTCAGTTCATTGCTTTTTGCCATTTTTTTTATTTAATAAAAATTTAACTACAGGTTTAAACAGTAAACAAACAATCGTCCCAATAATCTACAAGATATTAGCTAACTGTCGAAAAACTTTAAAATTTAAGTTATTGTTTAATGTTTTTATAAAAGTAGTTAATGTTAAAAGCAATGACTTTTAACAGAATTCGTATTCGTAAAACATAAAAGTGATATAAAGCATGCAAGGCTTAAAAACTGCACAAAAAGAGAGCATTTTTTTTTGGAGAAAATGCTCTGGCAACCAAATTAAAAATTTAGTCTCTCCCTTGTAAAAAAAAAAAGAATAATATCTTAATAGAATGCTCATACCATAAGATACTTAAATTAACTAAAACTTTGGGATAAACGCTCTTTGAGAAATTTGAATAATATTTGGCAACTAAATGTTTTGTTTGATGTTTAAAGGGGAAAACCTCTCAAGAAAATAAAAGTAAATTTATTTAGAAATCAAGCGGTAAAAACCATATTCTAAAATCAATTTTTTATATATTAATAAAGATATTTTTGTGGAACCACTAAGTTCAATTTTACCTAGCAACGCCCCTAGATACAGAAAAATGTCAATAAAACACATCTAGTCTAGCTTTTTTCGCGTTTTTTTTTTTTTTTTTTTTGCAGTTTTGTTAGAAAATCTTTCCACTATCTCTAAAGCTATCTTTAAAATTTGGTGATAAAACCACATATTTGGTGATGAAACCACATATTTGGCAATGAAACTACATATTTGGTGATAAAACCACATATTTGGTGATGAAACTACATATTTGGTGATGAAAGCACATATTTGATGAAGCTGCGCAAACTAAGGAGAGAAGTTTTGAGAGAATAAAAACTAAACAAAAATAATAAAAATGACAATCTGACTCGTGAACAACGGAAAGCATTTACACAATTAAAAATCGCTATCCTTCCTTGACTCTCCTAACAACGAAAATAAAATACAAGGGTAAAGACGTACATAACCTGGTAACAAACTACAGTGTTAATTATTACTACACTAATGCAACATCCCTTGATAACAAAATGAACAATTTAATTGCAATAGCTAGAACGTTTGACTATCATGTTATTGCTGTCTCCAAAACATGGTTTTGAAATGACTAACATCGATGGGTATAATATATATCGCAAAGATCGCTGTGATGGTTGTCGAGGTGGCGGTGTAGCTTATTACTGACTTATTTAACTCTCACGAAGTTTATCAGTTATATAAAAATTTACTTGAGCAAGTTTGGGTATCAATACAAGTTAATAGTAAACGCATATTTATTGGGTGTATATATAGACCAAATGATGCTACTCTTATAAATTATGTCGCTGAATCTTTCAAATTAGCTCATAGCTTAATTAGGAAGCCCTATGATGACTGTTTAATCGTTGGTGATTTTAATCTCCCGATTATGAAGTCGTCTAATAATGGCATTAAATCT